GCAGTAAAATGAAAAATAAATGTAAAATTACATCACAGTTTATGAAAACTGCATAAATTCATTAAAAAAATAGTTATTTTATCTGATTGTAAAAAGTGTTTTCCGCCAAAAAAAGTATTAACGTGTATAATTCTGACACAACGCTATAGCACAATTTGCCACTTCCGCTTAGGTATAATAGCAAAATTAACAACACAAATCAAATCAAACTGTTGATGCAACGAAAGTAAACAAACGCCAAGAACTAACGACTGTCACCCACATGACGTCATGCGTATGTGGCATAACTTTTCTCCCTGCACTGCGCATCGCTCTTGGGCCCCCCCTGAACTGATACATATACATATTGACATCACAGTTTCTTTTTATAAACAAACACTACGCCATCTATGGCGATCTGTGGATACACAATCCTAAACTTAACACTTACCTTATAGTTCAGAATTATATCTCCGTGTGAACCTTGCTCTTTACATGCATTTTGCCTTGCACTGTGTTTAAAGCTCTTAGTAGTTTAAAGAGGTAACTGCTGACTGTATTGAGAAGAATTGTACAAGTACTCTTGTGGAAAGTTGCAGAGCTGTAAAATGTTTCTTTTGAGAAAATAAATTCTTTCCCGCTATCATCGGTTTTGTGTGCATTCAAATCTATTACGAACCGTACTCACGCAACACAACTAGCATTATATATTAATGAGCTAGCATTATTTAGCTTAATTTCATTTGTTTGCGGTTATACCTTATACATCACGAGCAAAGAAATATATATTATTATATATATTAGATTTATATATAGCACTATTCTAATATAGGTATTTTGACACAAAATCCAACGTTTTCTGAAATAACATACCAAGGTTTTTATGTATTTTGATTCTACGACTCAAATTATGCCTAGATATTAAATTTTGTAAAATTTGGTGCGAAATTTACGGAGAAATTAAACAATTTATGTTGGCACTTTTTTTCATTTTGCGCCAAAAATAGTTTACTTGGTGAACTTCTAAATATGTGGCAACCTATTTTCATTTCCATTTTTACATCGTGCGTATGCGGAAATAAAGTCACAATCGTTCCTTCTTTGAAATAATGTTCTTTATATTATATTTTTACTTATAATTTCTATTATTTTAAGTAATTTTTTTCGTTTTCGAATTTCATTTTAATTGTTTAAGTCGCACATTTTCTTTCGAAAGACTGTTTTAAAAATTTCTATTTACTCATTCGAACTGCTTAGTGTAAATAAAGGTGCATCGTTTATTTATTTATTTTTTTTTTTCAAATAGTTTCTTTTTACTATCGTTTATTTTTTTCAAATAGTTTTCTTTTATACTATCGTTTATTTTTTTCAAATAGTTTTTTCTTTATACTATCGTTTATTTATTTTCAAATTTTTAAATAGTTTTCTTTATACTATATATTTTTTGTCATAGTTATCAATTGTAGGTAATTTTTAAATTTTTAGACTATTTATTTTAATATGTTTCTGTTGCATTGTCCTCTTCGGATAATTGTTTTAAAAATTTTCTATTTATTCATTCGAACTTAGTATTCGAGCATTTTAAATATATTTATTAAAATGTAAATTTTCTAAGGATTTGATTTTAATTTATTTGAACTTGCGTTTCTTTCGGAAGACCACTTTGTGACCCAGACTGCGATGCATCTGAAAATCTGCAATATATTAAAAAGAGAAAAATACAGTAAAGCACAGTTAACATACCTTTCAATGTTCCGTTTAGAAAAGATATATAAATAAGAGATATGTACAATCGACATTTTAACTTAGGATGACTTGAATACATTGCTTTAAAAAGTTTTATCATTGTGCCCATTGCTTTACACAATTTTATCATCCTACATTTAGTTTCTTAAATTTATAAATTATTCATATTTTAAGTGAAATATTTTATTTTTTGAAATCGCAAGAATCAAATATCATAAGATTAAAAAAGTTTTAAATTTAGAAAAAATGTAAATTTTATGTAAAAGTTTTATTTTTTTCTTCTTTATGGCTTGCTCTTTTTCTTCAGGCATTCTAAAAGTATATTAAAAAGCATCCAACTTTTCGAAACATCTTGGTATTTCTGACATTCATTTTAAATAAAGTTATCGCCACTGCCGGGCGGTAAATTCGCTGAACACTGGTAATTCGCTCCTGGGTTCGAATTCGTCCGGCAAACGGACTGGTTGCATGGGCGTTTTCGTGGTTTTTCTCATGCGTAACGTGTATGCCAGCTGGTTTCCCTTAGAAATTTCTTCACGAAGGCATCCTTCCTTTTAGACAGATAACCCTGCTTTGCCGTAATGTAATAATCCATAAGTATTTGGTCAAAGCCTTTTTATCAGTCTTTAGTGGCTAAGCATTTTGAAGGCATGAGATGAAAGAAAAGACTGGTTTTATCAAGAGGGAAAACATCTTTAAATGATATCCATATACGTTTTAGAGACATTAGGATTTTTTGGAAGCAGGAGACTTGAAAAATGAGCAATGTCCTCGCCGGGAATCGAACCACGGACCACTCGAATACGCACCGAGCTTGCAGACCACTACACCACGAAAGCACGCTAAGAAGGGAGTAATACCTTATAATATCACTGGATAAATTCCTGAATCTTCAAATAATTTGACTAAGAAATCACGGGATCTTCCGTTTATAAGACGATATTATGTTCTATGACGTAAATTAATTTTATGCAGCCATATAATTGAAAACCAGTCGCTCTTCAATTTAATCTGCAATGATATGGCTTTTGTCTTTCCGTTAGTACTAACTCAATTGCTAATATTTGCCTGGTGTGCACGTCCAAGTGTTTTCTCGTTGAACACCCAACTTCCTTGAAGTAGATTCTCCTTTCAATTTTTTGCTTTCCCCCCCCCCCCTTAATTTCCTTCTTTTTCTGCATTTGTTTTCAAATGTTCTATGACGTAATTTAATTTTATGCAGCCATATAATTGAAAACCAGTCGCTCTTCAATTTAATCTGCAATGATATGGCTTTTTTGTCTTTCCGTTAGTACTAACTCAATTGCTAATATTTGTCTGGTGTGCACGTCCAAGTGTTTTCTTCGTTGAACACCCAACTTCCTTGAAGTAGATTCCCCCCTTTCAATTTTTTGCTTTTTTTCCCCCTTAATTTCCTTCTTTTTCTTCCTGCATTTGTTTTTAGTGCTGTCACAAAAATTAAGATTTTTTTTATTGTTACACTTCCATAAATTTTGCATTCATGTCAATCTTTTTAAAATATCCGTTGCATCAAATGCGTTTCAGCTGAAGATAGCTTTTCATTTTCAAGACATTTTAACTATAAATAAAGTTTAAAGCAAAGTCCAAAAGATAAATATTTTAATTAAAACATTTTTGTGAAATGAGAAAAAAATAAACCATTCCAGCAGCGCTTATCCTGTACCATTGTGTGGCCTGATTCTTATATCGGGTGTAAACAATCTAAATCATATTATTTAGATTTTTAAGCTTAATAATTTCTATATTAAAAGAACACGTTTTTTTTTTTTTTTTTTTTTTTTTTTTTTTTTTTTTTTTTAAGCTGGAACATGACCCGAACTGTCAACGTCCTGTTTGCTTAAAAACTTTTGTGAAAATAATATCAAACGAACGTTCTCACTCACTTTTAGAAAAATTCAATTTAAATGCAGCTAAAGTAAAGTAGCAGACGATAACACAACGAAAGTAAAAATTTACTCTTATAAATATTTAAAAAGAAAGGAAGAAATTTAAATAAATATTAAAAATTTGAATAATATCATCTATAATTTTAAAAAAGTAACTTTTCCTTATAGTATTAATAATATTTATTACGCATCATTGAGGGAAAAAATATCACATAATTAATTCTCCGTAAAAATTTATTTGAAATTTAAGGTTAAAAATAGCTGTGGCAATTCAACTTAACAAAATTCATAAACCACATTTGGCGTTATTATCGCTAAAAAAATATGCCAAATTTCAAAACGGAACGCGAAAATAATGTAAGTTCGTGTGTATCATAGAAAAATTTTGAATTAAAATAACTCTAATTTTTTTTTCAGGTATACTTAGAATATACACCTACTTTAAGATGATGGTAAAAATTTTATAGGTTATAATTCAAATTTTTCTTTCGAAAAATTTATAAAAATTATTTAAAAATACAAATTTTAAAAATAAATCATAAAAAAATGGGTGAATTTTATTTGGAATGAACTTAAATTTCGAAATGCGAAAGGAAGAATCAAAAACTTTTCATAAAAAAGAGATATTAATAAATATATACCAAATTTAATTAACATTGAGGAACTAAAATTTTGAGACCTAATTTTTTAAAAACAAATTAAAAAACGATTTTTACAAAACTTGGCAGTCTGGCATAATTTGAGTTGTAGAATCGAAATATGGAAAAAAAATTGGAATGTTATTTCAGAAAAAAGTCCGATTTTGTGTCAAAATACCTGTTAGAATAGTGCTATATATAAATCTAATATATATCCTAAGTCGAGCTTTCGAGATGTGAAGAACGCAATTTGAATTTTATCAGTCGGTCTAGTAGAACGGGAGATATAGAAGTGTCTCTGTTTTTTTTTTTTTTTTTTTTTTTCCCTTGCGCAAATGTACAGACTATTGCTAAAGATATCAATAATGGGTGCGAGTTGTCAAAATCAGTAATTTTGTTTTTCATCCTTAAAATGTATTTTCGTATTGAACTTTTATTTTACTCAGAAAAGCTTTGTTTCTAAGTTCTTACATGATCATCCATTCGGTATGAATATTCTAACGTAACTTATTAGTGTTTTTAAGGCATCTTATACAATCACGATATTTCTAAGGTATTTCTATACATAACCAACGATTTTCGTTTACTCGTTCACTCATTTTTTATTGGTGTCAATGTGAAGACTACATGTCTTTGATGCTTAAATGATTTTTTGAAAGTTTTTAAACATTAATCTGTAGAGTTAGTAATATTTAATTATATTTTATTTTCTCCCTTTTATTTCAGCTACGTAAGAGAAGAGAAAATGGAAATATTTTTTCGCCAAACTGATCGACAGGGCAATGCGTTTTTTTCCAGCTATCGACGCTTGAACGAAGTAAGAACAGGATAGCTTCCTTCTTCCTACTAATTTAAATATCGCGCAAGCTAGAAATTTACGTTTCTGGTAGGAAAATTAAAACGAGGCTTATAGGAAAATAAATTAACATAAAATAACTGGTTAGGAACTTAAATGGTTACTTTCTAACATGCCTTTTCTTGACATTTTGTTTCCACTTTTGCCAGTTATTTGGCCGTCATATGTTATACAGAGCTTCTTCCTCTCTGAAGAGCATCTGATCTTAATCGTGAACTGAAACTCAGTTTGATTTTATTTAACAATTTCTTTATTCCAGATCCACGAGTTCGTAGATAAACTTTCCGAAGATTATCCAAATATAACAGAGGTCATTTCGGTTGGAAAATCTTCTGAAGGAAGGGATCTCAAGGCTATTAAAGTAAATATTATTTTTTTAAATCTCAATCTAAATTAATTTTATTAGCTTTTGTAAGATTTCTAGAATTTAAATATAAGCGTTTGCTAGTTTCACACTTAGTTTCCAATGAACAGTTAATATTACATGCGATTTATGATAGCGTTTGAATTTTCTTTGTTTTTTAAAATGCATATTTCCTAAATTAATTACAATACGAAACGTATAATTGTTTAATTCCTACAGCATAAGTTCATTTCGTTTTAAGTCAACTGAGGGTTAAACAAATTTCGTATCTTACTTATAAAGAAACACGATACTTTATAGTCTGGATCATCCGAATATGTAACAACAGTATGGTGTGATATAATAAAAAATTCCATTTTATTGCATAAAATATTCAGACAACAGAACTAGAATTTATGAAATGTACTGAAAAGTCAACAAAGTATAATAATAATTCTTTTCATATTTCAATGGAAAGTATAACTGAAAATTTTCATAAAAGAACTTAAAACTTCCGACGTATTCCTTTCGACTAAACATTTGCGTTTGTATTTCTAAAACAAGTGCCTGAACTTATTGACATGGATAAAAGCTCTTTGAATTGTGCATATATATTGGATTGTTTTAATGAAATGGTAAATTCATGGATCTATGGACAACAAACAGAAAAAAGGAAGCAGTAAACCTATTTAATATTAACAGAAAAGCAGCTCACAACAGTGGATAGTTTATCTACACTTGTTTGAAATATTAAACGTTTTCAAGGAAGTTTTAACTTCTTGATAGGGTTGCAAGTCACTGATAAGGCATTTTGCCACTAAAACAGGACTCCAAGATGTACTGAGGAAAATGGAAATCAGTTGCTGAAACAGTCAGGAAATTAGGCCCAGTTTTGTATCTCAACAGTTCCATGAAGTTCTTTCTATATAAGGTTAAACCTGATTTGGGATATATGCAACCTGATCTGGCATTATATGATATATATACTATATATACAGGTTCTAAATTACTTTTACAAATTAAGAGAGGTGATAGTACTCATCCAGATGAGCAAAATTACCGTAGAACATAGGGTCGCATTCCATTCTGAAAGGGAAAAAAGAATATTAGAATTCCAATTTGAACTTACCAGGTTCGGAGAGCGAATGAACGAGACCAAATGTTGCACAATCAGTTTAGTGGCAAACTCGCAGAGAGTGTACAAAACGCGTAAAACCGAAAACTTGGCGTTCGAGTGTTAATTACAGCTGAAACTTTGATGACTAACATTCAAATGCACACCTTTGGTTGGTAAGGTCTCAACCTCGCAAACGATTGCAACAAGTTAATTATGTAATCAAGAGCTGAATATTATCAACTGACTCCAACGTCCGCTGCATGCCGAGATTGGCATGAAAAGCTCATGCTACGTTCCGGCTGTCAGATTTTCGTGTCCCATAGAAGGGCGCTTCAAGTAGAATGAGCGCAGCAGAGTGAGTACAGGAAGACAGGATAGAAAATGGCTAAGAGAAAACCAGCTGCTATCTTGAAACTTGATATCAAGGTAGTTTTTCCCCTAATAGATAACTTCCCCCTAATAATTTAGATAATTATTTGCGATCATTTGCCATCAAAGTCTCAGCTCTAATTAACACTCGAACGCCAAGTTTTCTGTTTTATCCGTTTTGTTCACTCTCAATGAGTTTGTCACTAAACTAATTGTGTAACATTTGGCCTCGTTCATTCGCTCTCCCAACACTGTTGTAAGCTCAGATTGGAATTCTAGTATTCTTCTTTTCTGCCTCTCAAAGTGGAATGAAACCATATGTTCTATGGTAATTATTGCTCATCTGGATGAGTACTATCACCCCTCTTCATTTGTAAAAGTAATTTAGAATCACCCTGTATATTAATATGACTGAGGGCTTTGATACAAAATTTTCTATCACTGGTCATAAAACCCTGACAGAAGCGATTTTTTATGATTTACTTAGGAGGCATTAATGACTGATAATACAAGAAAGGGTCAAACATATCGTGACTATTATCTTTGAATGTGCAGAATATGCTATGATGATTCTTTACCTTAACCTCCTCCAGCAAAACGCCTGCAGGTGTCGTATAAGATATGTGTTTCAGCAACAGTTACAATACGTTAAAACGTTTTCGCTTATTTTTTTTCTGGCGAAAAAAACATTCCGAACCACTTGCATTATTTCTATTGACGAGCATGTGCAAACCTGACGTACCAACCTTTCTAAAGTTACTTCCTTATGGCTAAATAGCTGTACATGCTGTACGGTTTAGAACAGATCCGATTCAATGAAGTTCTTTCATTCAACAGGATCAATAAAAAGAGACAGTTTTATTTTGTAGATTAGTATCTCCAGTTGAAAACCAGTAACTCGTAATTCTTTTATTTAATTCAAAGTTATGAAGAATATTTATAGTCAACTACTTAGCTGAAGACAGCAGTTGCCAAGGAATCCTCGTCGATGCTCGCGTCCCGGATCATCCAAAATTTAAATAAATATTGCTTATGTTTGTTTCCTTAGTGAAATAGAATTAATGTGTCATTTATCATTCATTTCAACAAGCGTATGACAATTTTCTGTTCTTACACCGCAAAAATACGAAGTTCCTTTTATAAATTCTTGCCAATTTCCTATTTCAAAGATGCAAGTGTTCATATCATAATCGATCTTAAACTGGAAAATTTTAAAAGGTGACAAAGAGAGAGAAAATTTTAAATGTCAGGAATGAGAGTATAAAGAATGAGATTTTTACTTAACAGATATTTTTTTCGTTTCAGATTGGAAGCAAAACATCCACTAAATCCTCTAAATCTGCCATTTGGATTGATGGAGGTATCCATGCGCGGGAATGGATCAGCCCAGCTACAGTAACCTACATTGCTTACAGAGTATGAACATTTTTAATTTGCTGTTTTTATAGAATTTAAAATTTAGATTTCGTAGACGAGGCAAGTGTGAAGTAGTATAAACTGCACGTTTAAGAAACGCGAACAGATTGTATAGTTTATAAAAAAACATGGTACTTTACAGTCTGGATTATCCGAATAGAGGGAAATCAGGAGGTATTCAAATAACAGACTTGCGTATTTGAAAGAAAAAAAAAATTACCTTAATTAATTTGTTCTTGAATATTATTTATCTAAATGAAAATTATTTTCAGGAATTTAGTATTTTATTTCAACACTAAATTCAATAAAAAGTAGAAAATGCGTAATCATATATTTTCTCACATTATAAATTTCTATTCACACACTTTTTTGTTTCATTATTTATTAAACAGTTCATAGTTATTAACGTTTGTATTATATTGCAATCTCAAGTTTTTTTACGTTTAAGTGCCTTAAATAGGAATAAAGAATAGACAAAGCATTATATTTGTTTTAGTTTTGAACTTGGCATGAAACAGATTGAATAAAAGTGGAATAAAGCTATCGATTGGAATGGATGAAACAATAACACTAGACTTTGTTAAATAAACACAACACTGACGCAATACTTGGTATACATACACTAACACTGACTTGATTAAATACTTGGATAAATAAGATGAGTAAATTGAATAATAAAATATTTATAATATATACATCACCACCACCTTGGGTTGTGGTGTATTGAACGCGGGCGTTTCACTACACTCTCCTGAGAGGGGTCGTAGGCTGTTTTCTTATTGCTGGATAATGAGAATTTTCCATGCTCATAAAGAAATTATGCGCTGTTGTTAAAATTTGCTCTTGAATGGGGCGAATTTTTACGTCTTCATAAAATTGAGAATTCCTGATGAACTACGGTGCATCTGTTATGGATTGGAGTTATTTTGTAGAACATTTATTTTCTGTCTATCTGTTTTCGTAGCTGTTGGCCCGTGCTGGGACTGCGTAAAGTAATATAGGTCAAATGAGGGCGACGTAAAGTGTGCGTTTAATCTTCAAATTTAATTTCGATTTCCTTCCTAATAAGGGATATAATACCATAAAAGCTGCATTCGCTTTGTTAATCGTCTAGATCACATGTTCATGGAAGGAGAGCGTTTTGTCCATATAAACGCCGAGATATTTGTACGAATTTTCCGTAGGGATAGGGATATCATCAATTTTTATGTCAGTATTTAGATGTTGGTATTTTTTGTATCTTCGGTAAATTACTATGCTGCATTTGGAAGTATTAACTTTGGTTTTCCACATTTTACGCCATGCGTCCACTTGGTTAATTTGGAATTTGAGTTTCTCCACTGCATTCTGAGGGTTTAACGAATTTGTTAGAATAACTATATCGTCCGCATACTTGAGTACATTTTAAAATAATTTTGGCGAGAGAACGCTACCTTGCGTTCTTTGTGCACCTTTGTGCATGACTTTTTCACTTTAAAGTGAATTCGCACATCTTACTTGGAAAGTCCTTCTCTTTAAAAATGAGATAATTAATTTTAGGAAACTGTTCGGCAGAATAAAGTTGGAGAGCTTGTAAATGAGGCATACATGCCACACTCGATCGAAAGCTTTTTCGAAATAGAGGTAGCATGCAGCGACCCCGTTTTTCTTTTGAAATTCCTGTGCTATATATTCTGTTAAATTGAGGATTTGATGCATTGTAGAATGTCCGGAACGAAATCCAAACTGATTCTGGTCGACAAGATTTAATCTTTCTAGATGCTTCCCAAGTCGAATATTCAAAACTTTATGAAAAACTTTTCCGATGGCGGGAAGTATGCTGATGGGTCTGTAACTATTTACATCTCGTGGGTTCTTTCCCGGTTTTTGAAGAGTAATTACTAAGGAGTGTTTCCGCTGATGCGGAAAATGTACTCATCTGATACAAGCATTAAAAATGTTGCAAAGCAAAACTATACAATTCCTAGAAAGGGTTTGCAACTCTTCATTATTAATGTTATCAAAACCCCTCGCTTTTCTTTCCTTCAGTTTCTTAATAATTTCCTTTACTTCTGTTGGGGAGGTGAATTTAACGAAATCTGTATTCTGTCTAATTTTGATACTTTCTACTGCCTGGTAAATCATGATCCTGCCTGGTTTCATGATCTGAATTTTCGTCCATGTGCTTCTCGAAAGCTTTGCTTAAGTTTACTGCCATAATTTCTGCAATTTCTGCCTCGGAGTAATGAGTCTGACCCATGAACTCTATCGGGTGTAAATACCTTGTCTGGCTGCTTCTTAACGATCTTGCAATTTTCCATACCGTGTCGGTGTCTAAATCTATATTTTCGAGTAGCCTATCCCAGCTTTTGCACTCCTGTGGTAAAAAATTTTCTGTTTTACCTGTATCTTCCTCGTGAGGTAGTTGACATAACTTTTATGTCTTGGGTTTCTAGTTTGTTGCCAATACTTTCTTTTATGGTTTCGTTATTTCATTAAATTAATAATATCCTCGGAGAGTTTCTGATGGTTATCGTTCCTGCTAATATAAGAAGCATTTTTAATTGAACTTTGAATTTTTGAGTTCAGATTGTGAACCTCGTTTTCCAAATCCGCACAGTGACTTATGGAAATTCTACATGAGATGCTGATACGTTGGCTTCTGAAACGTGTCCAGTTAACTTTTTGCTGTATTCCAGCAAATTATGACGCAGGGCTGTTGAGACATTGCTCAGCGAAGAAAATGCATGTCGTGACAAACACAAGAGCCTTTTGATTACTCCTGTTTTTATATCAATCTGCTATTCACATGTTACGGTATGACAATTTGTTCGTATTTTAAAATGTTCCTACTGTCCACTTTATAGACAACTGCATTTAATAATATGTATATGTTTAATAACAGGATATATGTAAATGATATGCATGTGCTATGATATGTACATATTATGGAATTTATTAAGTATATGTCTAGCCAATTGTAGTGTACGTGTTGGAATAAAAGCACCACCCTCTATTAACCCAAAAGTATATATAAGCACTTGTTTCAAGCACCTAAAATCCAAATCTATGTAAATCTACGTTTTGTTGCAGCCCTGTATGCCTATGTATCTAAATTGTTACTGTCAATAAACTCCCGATGCGGCCTTTATTGGACGCCAGTAGTGACTCAATTAGATAGTTGCGGGTACCAGACTATACCTGATTTATCATAAAAAGCCGTCAGGGTGTCCGGCCCTGCATTCAGCTGTTCACTTTACAGTTTATTTATGAAGTTTTAGTAAAGTGTAATGCATACTTTCAGTCATTGTCGAATTTATTTCACAATCAATTTCTGAGGTTTCGCTAAGTCGCACTTGCGACTTAAAAATGTAGCAAAAATCTCGTGTTTCACAACTTATGTTGAGCAGAATACTGTTTTAAGGAAATATGGTCAATGAGGCAAATCTTATTTAAACTGAAAACAAAAAATAAAAAGATTTTCTATAAGAAATTTAAAATTAGCAAGGGAATAACTCTTTTAATTTAGCTATTGTTAAAGATTTTAATAAATCATAAGAATTCATTTTCTTGCCAATATTGTGATTTTAATTACTTTATCTATTTTTCAGCTGACGAATGATTACAGTAGTGACGAAGAAGTAAAAGATTTAGTTGATCATTTCGATTGGTACATTTTGCCTGTTGTGAATCCGGATGGCTATGAGTTCAGTCATAATTTTGTAAGTTCCAAACATTTCCTTTTCTTTTAAAACCTTTAATCAAATTTAATTCAGTTTCCTTTCAAAATTGAATAAAGATTATTTCTGTTTAGATATATCTCCAACCTAAATATCAGTGCTTGGCTACTTGTACTCCCTTCATTGTTTGTTACCCTAAGAAAACTTCTTCACGACTATATTTTTCAGTGTTCCTAATTCACTCATAAATACAAAATTATGATGATTTGCGGACGCTTCAAATATTAAACCATTTCAATATTATTATTAAAGAGGAATTTTTTTTCTAAATTTAGAAAATCCTTTGTGATTAAAAACATTGTTATTGTATTACTAGCAATTTTTTCCTCCAGCTTCATAAGCATTAATATTTATTTAATTCTGATTACTGATTTGAAAAGTGAAACAAAAGTACGCATTACAGGCATTTTCTGTTTTTCTTATAAATAGATATGATATATAATCAGTTCGGCTCATACATATCATAAAATGAACGGGAGAAAGAAAATGGAGTAGATTAGACAGATCTAAAAGTTTATTCTATAATTTTTAAAAGGAACAGAGAAAATTTTAATGCTTATTTACGGTTTAATGAACAGCTCTAGGCCATTGAAAACGTAACTCGAATGTTTTAAAATATTCCATAACTACTCTTATCACGCATTCATCATCATTAAATCTCTTTCCACGAACATAAGATTTCTATTTGGGAAGCATATGAAACTCACTTGGAGCTAAAACTGGGCTTAAGAAGGAGTGTCAAGCTCCTTTAACCCATATTTCTTTACTGCTTCTTTAACAATACAGCTACATGTATAGAAGCAAGGAGAAGATAAACTGTGCAACACAGCATTTCACGACTTTTCTCTTTTATTTCCTTGCTCAATTTATGCAAAAGCTTGTGTAATATTTTTCATTAATGGTTGTCTCTTTAGAGTGTATTAAGAAGATCCCTTGACAGTCTAAAAAAATGGTGGCTATTATCTTTATCATTAATTGCTGCATATTGGCTTTATCTGGTCGTAGGGCCGTGGCAGAGGCCCGTTTCGTATTTGCCTGGAGGCCTCATGCTAATCTATTTACAAATGCATTTCTGTGAGCGGTTGCGGTTGGCGGAAGAGCCTGCAGCACACTGGTTTGCCTAAAGTCCCGTAAAACTGTTAAAACGGCACTGCTTGGTGGAACTTCACCTAATTTTCTTCACTCCATTGAGTGTCTTTGCAACAGACTATCATTGAATAGTACCATTGTTTCATCAACAATTACGATCGGCTGCAAAATTTTCTCTTGATTTTGTACTATAAAGCTTCAAAAAGTACGCACAGCAAACGCTGCTTTGCTGTTTTGGAATTCTTGAAAAGACGTCATGGTGCCCATCTTGCAGAAGCTTTGCTCATGTAGAATGCGTAAAACAGATGTTTAGATAGATCCAGTTTTGCTGCTGTCTTCTTGACTTTTAATCTCCTGTCACTTAATATTTCCTCTTATATACAAGCAATATTTTCTGATTTCGGTCTTCCTGACCGAACTTCCTGAGAATAAAATCGACAGATTCTTGGGCCATGAGAAATTGTTTTACCTGTTCCTTGACTGTAAAATAGGAAGGAGATGTATCGCTGTTTTAAATATTTAGAACAAACTAGCACTTTCATTCAGTAAACACTCCCTCGCTCCCCAAAAAAGCAAACTATTTTACTAACAAAACGTCGAAATGTACTCATTTAATAATTTAATGTAATAGTGTGCTGCAATATGAATGTTTGCAACAGGAATTTATTGCAAAACTATTCTGTTATATGTAAGGTCCAAAAACTTATTGATCTGGTACTAATGTTTACGTTGTGTAATCCTCACCAACTCTCTTGCAATTAATGAACTGACTTCGCATACTCGCTAATTACACATTCATATTTATAACTGTAAATTTATTCTTGTAAATTTAACTGTATATTATTAATTTAAAAAGAGATTAATCATCTCTTTTAATACATATAAAGTCAAATTGTGCATGTTAAGATTGGTGTAATTTCAAAAAGATATTCACATTCTTCATGTTTAAGTTCCCGTTTTAGCATCATCTTGTTTATATATAACTTTTCTCTCTTATTGTGATTTTACAGAATAGGATGTGGCGGAAATCACGAAGAGGTGGTTTCATCTTTTGTAAAGGAGTAGATCTGAATAGGAACTTTGGCTTTCACTGGAAAGGTAATTTTTAATAACTATCTATACGTATCATTTATGTTTTCATTACGGTAGTTGAATGAGATATTTAGAGTATAGATTTATTATAGAGTATTTTCTTTACGGTAGTTGAATAATAATAATATTGAGAAATTACACTAGGCTTATTTGCCTATGGGAAGGGATACTTTTGTGAGAATTTTTGAAGGGAAATTAGTATATTTGTATTGTTCACAGAAAAAAGTTTGAAAACACCATGTAACTAACCCGCTCGACCTCAAGTTTACTGTTGAGTGGGACTATTAGTGTTCGGGGGGTCTTAGGCTCCGTTCAGACTAAGGCTCTTCAGTCATAAGAATAATGAGTTGACTTTTGTGGCTAGGCAACCAGACCTTGCTACATTATAAAAGCTGGTTTAAGGATTTTGCCTAAATGTTCTAACTCTTTAACTTAGGACCAATTTGGTGTAAGAACCGACCCAGTAATAACGAAGCAAATCAAAATGACACACCGTCGACGGTTTCGCTGAGCTAGCTGTAAGTTTACGCATGCGCAACTTTACCTTCTCTGACTGGCTACGGCTTGAGACGTGACGCACATGAGAAATGTTATGCTTTAAGCTACAAAGCCGTATGACAATAAAGCCTTCGTCTGAACGAAACCTTACCATTAGTTATGCTTTTCCTTACAAGCTGTAATATATCCGTTATAATTCTTAACAGATGAGAATTTAATAGAAAAATAATCTATTGATATTCCGAAAACTTAAACACTGGTATTAATAAAATAGATTTCAGTTACAATTATTCATAACGATCAGCCTTTATTGTTTTATTTAACAAGATTCAAATGATTTAATGAAATATTAACCACTTCCGAATTTCTCATTTGCCATATTTTCTCGCGTATAACCCCTAAATTTTCAGCACCAGGTCCTGAAAATATTTAAATATCCGCGTAATTAATCCCTTGCTCAGTACGTTCAAAAAAAAAAAAAAAAACGAGTTCCCCTTAAATTTTAAAATGGATTCATCGATACAATGATTGTTTTCATCTTACTAACAAAGGCAAACCCTCGCAAACTACCTTCGAAGGTTACACCAAACCTGTTCCTTCTAAATGGTGAACTTTTGAACTTTATACCAGCCTAATACAAGAATCGATCAAGCAACAGCGAATACGAACTGATATTCAGTCTACGATTTCGTTAAGTCAGCTGCACATTCACGTTCTCTTATCATTTATCTGTAGGTATCTGTAGGATCTGAGGTGTAAGAAGTAGTAGAGACAACTATAAGAAAGCTCGAGATTCATGTTACAGGAGAAAAAAATGAAGATATCATATTAAAATATTGTAATGTTAATATTACTATGTATTCTAATTGGAATGTAGGTTTCTTTTAAATAAATGATACTATGATGGTTACAGTTATAGTAGTTTATCCATGAATAATTTTCATTTCTTACATTCTTACTTGTATATCCTCTCAGTTTTGAAAGTAAACATAAGTAATAAAAAAAGGGAGAGGATGCGCGAGGAAATGCAATATTTGTTCTTTATCGCACTTGTTAAAGTGCTATGAAATGAAATGGGCTAAATTTCCTATATTCTGAAATGTTTCCCAGTTTAATTAGCTTTGGTGTTCTCAGATGTGGATTTTTTCCTATTTCGATTACATTCCGCCTCATCTTGTCTGATTGCATTTAGGATTGCCCGTACTTTCATTTACGATTGGGTTTGCATACTCAACTCAGAACAGTTTCATTTGTCAGTCCAGACTGTTTCTGCGTGGAACTCAAAACCGATTTTACAAAATTTGAAGATCCTGGCAAAACGTTTTATGCCTCTCCTCTCCTCTAATTCTTTTTAATACAACCGATGTCACTGACTCGAATTATATGAAATATTCCAGGAAATAACCAAATAACTCAATTTTTATTATTTAAATTTAAAATGTCTTTTATTTGCTCGGCTTTCTATAGAGAAGACATAAACTAAATAATTTATATTTATTTTCCTATGGCAGTCATACAAGAGTATAGAATAGCTGTGCAAGTTAGCGTTAGTTTGCAGATCGAAGCTTCACTAAACGTCACTAGTCACTAACGTTAATGCAAGGCAATGTAACTGCGTCTGATTTTTAACGATAAACAGAAAATTCAAATATGAAATTTAAAGTATTGTTCTCCTTCTATTTTTTTATCTTTTAAATCTAGAATTAAAAAAACTAGCGGGCTGGACACATGGTCCCGTTTTCTTTGTAAATCAAGTCCTGATTGAATTAGCTGTATTCATACTGTGTTATAATTTTCACCTTGTCCATGCAATCTTCTGTAAGCTGCATTGTTAGTCAGGCTATAAAGACAACAGCAAAACGGATTTAATAACATCGTCTAACACAAAGCAGTAGGCCGAAAAATCTTATTTACTGAATCTTGGCAGGGCCAAGGAAAAGTGGACGGAGCACCAGAATTTCGTTGGTGAATTTATAGGTATCAGGCCGCTGCAGTTACGGCTTTCTGTTTAAGTTAATGACTAATTGCTATCATTAACAGTGGTATAATGATGCTTAGAACATACTGGCCAACTAACTAGGATTTATTCCCAAGTCTGCAACTTAATGCAACTATAGGGGAATTGGATACTGGCCAAATCTCACCATACAAATTTTTCTGTTTGTAATATTTGTAAAGTACGTATAAGTTTACAAATCCTTAAGTACAGATACTGGCCAAATCTTACCATATAAATTTTTCTGTTTGTAATATTTGTAAAGTACGTATCAGTTTACAAATCCTTAACTACAGATACTGGCCAAATCCCACCATATAAATTTTTCTGTTTGTGATATTTGTAAAGTACGTATCAGTTTACAATCCTTTTCTTAACTTCCATCAATGTCGTCCCTCTTGGTTACTCAAATTTTAGAAGATAAGATTTTCTAAAATCCTAGCACGGTTTTAGTATAATTATTCATATTTTAAAATGCATTATATTAGGATGAACTTATGGCCTACTTTTGAAATACTTTACGATGTGCATTATTAATAAATATTGTAAATAGTTCTGCCATGTTTTTATATGTATTTCTTTGGATTAAAATGTATGCAATTATTGTACAAAATTTCTTACCATGGATTTGCCGTTTTTATTCAATTTAGTAACATAATTTAAACTTACGTTAATTGTAATAAACTTAGCCCATTTTTTAAAATAACGAAAGTAATTAAAATCACACCATTAGAGCCAATAAGCTCACTTTTATTCAGAATTCTTTCTTGTGGTATATATTAACAATGTTTCAGAATGATATTTCATGGATAAAGTATACATCTAGTTGCTACGCATAACTAGTTTTCCAATATTAATTTTCATATTTTACATGTTAAATGTAGCAACTTAGTGTACAAAAATATACATGTTCTTTTAACACTCCTCGTAATTCATAAATTATACAGAAACTGAATTTTCATAATGGTTGCCATAAATTAAGCATGCTATTTTCCTAATAAGACAAATTACAAAATTTAGAGATAATTCTTTGAAATTCACCTTTCCTTATAGGCTTTTGGGAAACATTTCCGTGTTACATCAGTAAAGTTAATGCTAACGGTAACATTTCCGTGTTACATCAGTAAAGTTAATGCTAACGGTAACATTTCCGTGTTACATCAGTAAAGTTAATGCTAACGGTAACATTTCCGTGTTACATCAGTAAGTTATCAACGTTACATTCCGTGTTACATCAGTAAAGTTAATGCTAACGGTAACAGCAGCAGCATTGTTGACAAGAATATTGTTGAATTAAGCCACAATAACACGCGAACGAATATTAATTCAGAAGTCAAACAACAAAAATCAGCGCTATATTTTCAAATTTTCACAAGACTAGTTTCGATGGTTTTACCAAACCATCATCCTCAGGAGTTCTGAAATAGTAAGATATTGTTGGCGTACTTAATGTTTTTGCATGTAAAATGCCTCTTGATAGCAATAGAATAGTATACTAAGTAACTAAGGGCTCTTTAATATTACAGCATCTTACTGGTACTTTTAATTATACATACAAGTATTTTAACGCTTCTTGCCCCATGGTATTGGCAATATTACAATATATAAATACTATATTTTTAATCCAGCTCAAATGTGCCAGTTTAATGGATACATTTTGAAAGTACCACTAATTTTCCTTTTTTAACGGCAAGCTTTTGACAGTGATATGCCACGGTGCTCCTTTTACATACTAATCAGAAATGCCATAGCTATATAAAGTACCTGAATTCTGAATTTGTTAAGTATCTTTTCTGATTATTAAATACTTTGCGTGTCATATTCTGAAGGCAATTGTAATATTAGATTGTCCATTTTACAAAAATGTTAATTTTATGTGTAGAACCTTTTCTTCAACACTATTTTCTGAAGTTACTATGCCTCAGCAATGGCCAAGGAGTACTTGCAGTTTATCTGCCTTCATCTCCCGGTGATTGAACGAGCTGTTTGTATAAATTTTCCGTGTATTTTTCTCATATTTATTCCACTTGGCTCTAAGGTTTTTTAAGAAGCACCCCTCCCAAAAAACTACGAAATATTATTTATATATATTAGTAAAGCTCCATTGCAACAAATTTACGAGTTCCAACTTGAGTTGTTCCCGTTGTCAAATCGTTCTACGCTCTGTAATCATTCTATAAATTGTTTAAAAGCAAAATATTTACAAAGCGTGTGGAAAAACACAGGCGGACAAGCCGCCAGATGAGACTCTAGAAGGGAATAGTAAAACTGTCTTTACTATCAATAAAATAGAGTCCTACATATGAAGGTGGCAAATGCCACGAGGTCAGCTCGTGGCTTTAATTAATTTAATGCCAGAGTAGTTAAAGTGAATGCAACCTAATTTCTTTTTAGAAGTCCTCAATAAAGGCATGTTCCTTTAGCAGAAAGGTTTCACATGTTTTTCACTTGTTAAATTTGCCAAAATTAACCTAGCTGTTGAAAGTGTCTTTTTCAATAATAATGATATTATTTAAAATAAATTATTATTTATAAATGAAAGTAAGAAGGATGAACAAGATTGTGCTAGTTTAAAATATCAGATGAAAAACATTGTGTGATAAGTTGCAATTCAAGCCATTATGACAAATTATTTTGTGCATATGCACAATAAGGAATTTTTTGATTTTTGTGTAATAAATATTTTCATTCAGTAAAGCAGTTTTTCAGAGGGAGGTTCAAGCTCCAGTCCCTGCAGTGACACCTATGCTGGCTCTCAAGCATTCTCAGAACCCGAGACCAAGGCCATTTCAGACTACTTATCACAACGCAAAGAAAATTTCATAGCTTATCTCGCTGTCCATTCTTACTCTCAGCTATGGCTGACTCCTTGGGGATGGACCAGTGACTTGCCTGATGATTATGATCAAATGGTATGTAAAATAATGTTTGGCTAAAATTTTACAAAAGCTGTCATGTATTTAACCTTACATCTTAATCTTATTTATAAATATATTTAATTCTTTCAAATGCAATATAATTTTTTTTTTAAATCTGAAAGGGCTGATTTTTTAACGATTATCCAAAAGGGCTTTTTTAAAAGCTTAATGTGGTTTATCAGTAGAGATGATCGATAGACATGGCCCAAGTGAAATAGAAAAGCATTTTATAGGATATTAGATGAACATGCATTTAGACTAACGTGGGAATATAATATATCTTCTTTATATTAAAAAAGAGAAAAATATTAATATTTAAGGTTTCTAATTAGATGTATCATTAATTAAACATATTTTTATATAAATCAAACTAGTTAAAAAATAATATTCTTAAGAACTGTATGTATTGCTTTTAAATAGTTTAGTTTGTTAGACAGATTAAATATAAAAGAGTAATAAATTATTATTTTTTTGCGAATGACAACTAACTCGACTGGAAAGTGAAACAACGCATTAAAGTGAAAAATATATAACGTAATTCTATAAAAATATTCAATGTTTTTAATTAGATATATCATGAATTAAGTGCACTTTTATATAAATGAATCAGATTCAAAAGTAAGAATATATTGTTTTTAATTACTGCATTTGTTGTTTTTGAATATTTAGTTAGTTCCTCAATAACAGACAGATTAAATTTGAAAGGTGATATTTTTCTAAATGGCAACGCATTGGAATGAAAAATAGAACAACGCCAAATCGCGTTTGTAGATTAATAGCCCTTTTGGACTAACTAGATGTTACTCTGTTAGCATGCTAGGTTATTTTAAAATGTTAACTTCCCAAACAAAACGATATTTAAGTGTCTGGTATTTGGTAATTATAATTCTTCCCAGCTTATATCGTTTTAACTCAAGATTAACGATTGATCTTTTTTTAATTTTTTTATTGATCTTTTTAAAAGTGACAGTGTTTGGAGCGCCCTGTAGCGCGATCTAATAGCCGAAATGGCACCAAACTTTGTATTTAGACTAATCAAGACATTGACTCAGACTACAATCGTACAGTTAAATTATTAATTTTTATTTACTACATTAACTTTCCCGGTGAGGAATTAGACCACATTCAATGTGAGCAACGTTTTCAGAAATAACACCGTGCATTCTGTGCACAACGTTTTCCATAGCCGTATGTAACATATCACGAGGAATATTCACTGTCTTTGTTATGTTGTCCTCTAGAATAGGAAAATTTGATACTCCACCAACATAAACTTGAGATTTCAAATAACCCCACAGCCAAAAATCGCATGGCGTGAGGTCAGGGAAGCTGCGAATGCATTACATTGATTCATGTAATACAACTTCACCAGTAACGCACGTTCCGGTAACATGAGAGGCATGTCCACTGGAGCTCGTTTACTTCAGCTGAGCTTATTTGTCGGAGCTGTCTACTACTTGCTTTTATAGGCCCTATTACTGGTGCTGTCATCGCACAGCATATTTGCATTTTCCTTTGATACCCATATTTTATGCTAATTCTCATTATTGTAAGCTACAGCAGCGCCACAAAATACCCTAGCGGCGATGTTTGGAACTAAAATTTGTTTTCACGGAATCCTTTTTCCCATGTCTTGATTAGTCTAAATACCAAGTTTGATGCTATTTCGGCTATTAGATCGCGCTCCAAACACCGTCACTTTAAAAAAAGGATCACCCTGTACTTACTTTCAGCAGGTTCAAAATTCCGATGTGATTTCAGAAATTTGCCCATAGCGAGCAGTTATTAATTTTGAACTTTATCTGTGTAAATAAGTGATGTACCCTATTGATAAATCAAGTGATGTTTTCCAAAATTATTTTCAATTTTTGCAGTTTTATAATGCCGCTATACTTCCGATGTCGAAAAAGTTGATGCTATGAAAATAACTGCAAACACAGAAAGTGCTCTTTTGGTGAACTCAACTCTTCTATTGTTAAAATATTATGACAGCAGAAATAGAAAAACTGCAGAGTATGGATGGAAAAGGAAGTTGCAAAGAAGAAATATGAAGATACATTATTTAAAAATTTCTCTTTAAGAAAGTTCAGACTTCTCAAAGAGAACTTTTTTCAGAAGTCTCTTTAAGAAAGTTGAAAAAAATCCTGAAAAGTTCTCTTTAAGAAACAGTTGGAAATTTTAGCATGAGTAAAAGAAAACACTAGCTTCTTTTGAGTATCAGAATAAGAATAATGAGAGCTTTTCAAAAGTACTTCTGTCTGTTCATAAAGCTATTACCTGCAATAGAATTAAGATGGCTTAATTTAACGAAGATAAAGAGAAAATTCAGATATTTCAAGATTCCTCGAGCAGAACACAATAAGCAAGAGTAAAAACGAGACCCAGTAATATCTGTATCGAAATGTAGAAAAGTTTCCGAATATTCCTATATCTTCTTCTTAAACCTGCTGATATTCCATCTGCATGTTGATCACTATTCTTCACCTTATAAGGTTCCAGCCTTCTTGGCATGCCTTTGTGGTGTAATGGTCAGCACGCTCAGCGCGTATTCAAGAGGTTCGTGAGGCGAGTCCCGGCTAAGAGTATTGCTCATTTTTCATGTTTCCTGCTTCCAAAATATCCAGGTGTCTCTACAATGGTGCCCGAACTAAAAAAGATGGTGTATGATGATTCTTCACCACAGGATTTGGCAACTGAGTCCGCTAATCCTCAATATCCCTTTAAAAAAAGGAGTATATAAGGTATTTCTTCTTACTTCTTAGCATGCCTTCCTGGTGTAATGGTCAGCACGCTCGAAGCTTATTCGAGAGGACCCTGGCCCGGCGAGAACATTGCTCATTTTACATGTCTCCTGCTTCGAAATAACCTAATGTCTTTACAACCTACTGATGATAATGCAGATGATACAACTAAATTAACATCGAAAACCAGTAAAATATACTATCAAATTATGGCGACATACATTTTGCATATTAACAAATTAAATTCCGATTGACACAAAAAAGAAATGGAAAGAAAATTTTAAAAATATTTGTTTCCTACACTCTGTAAACTATTTTCTTACATCTTTTATGATGCGATATCAATTTTTACAGTCTCGTATAAATTCCGCTATCAGTCCAGCGAGTCAGTATATTACATCATCTTTCGTTTATTCTTCATCGAATCGTTGTCTGAGTGGGAATTTCTTCAAATGCAGGAAAAGATAAATAACTTTGTGTACTTCTGTAGAGGATTGTTTATTACTTTGTTTTGGGATAAAAATTTCGCATCGCCCCCAAAATATCATAAACATGATCTTTGTAACACTTTTGCTGAAATTTTTGAGGATCCAAAGTGCCTCCGTTCCATGGATTGACTCTTCAGTTCTGAAGTTGCGTGGGATATCTTGAGGGTACTGTAGGGTAGGTGCTGTACGGTAGGTGCTGTTGAGAAACAACTAAACTATGGTATAAAACTACGGGAATCTACCGTATAAAAATAGATCACTAGTCATAAAATCGATGTAAGGGAAGAATGATTTCGACTACTGTAACAGCTTTTAAGGGAATTCAGTTTATTCGCTCTGTAATTTATATTTAAACTCATTTGGAAATGAAGCTGGTTTATGCAAAACCCAATATTACTGCATAATTTCTTACACAGTATGGAGGGTAATGGACGACAGCTTATGGAAGACAACGCTAAGTAACCTTAAGGTAATTTCATACAAAACTGCCCAATTATGTATTTCTTAAACTATGAAATCTATATATCTATCTATATTATATATACATATAATAAAAGAAAGAGTCTGTCTGTGTGACTCGTTCGGTTGCGCGTAAGCTAATAGAGCCACGGCTACGAAATTTGGTACATAGGTGCATCTAGACAAGAGCCAGTGCACCTCGAAGCGATTTTTTCAAAACTCGAATTCGAATTTTTTTTATTTTATGCTTTTGTGACGAAATCGCGTCATTTTGAGACATAATGGGCTATAGGAATGCGAGATTTTACTCTACACACTCCGTTTTCACATCGTCATGAAACGTAGGCACTTAGCTATTTTACGAACTTAAAATAAATTTCGTGTTTCAATAAATCGATTAAATACGAATTTCTTTAACAAAGGGAGCTTAACACCTTTTCAACGGGATTTTTTTCTAAAAAAGTTTATTTTTGAAAATGTACAGTTTATTTTTCTTTGACTTTTGGACACGTTAAACTTTCATCCTTGCGACTGCTTCTACAAAAAGAATTTTGGAAAAATGATAATATTTTGTATTTAAAAAAAAAAATTATATGAAATTTTCGAGTACACTTCTCACATCTTTAAAAATGTGATTTTGGCAATAATTTTCCTTTCTTATTGTTGTTGATAGATTTTTGATGAAATCGCATCATTTTGAATAGTTTCATTCTTTTAGAAATATGGGTTTGGCATCAATTTTTCATCGTATTTCTTATGTAAGAGAAATTACATATTATTTTCTTATCTTAAGAGATTGGCATATTTCATTGTCATTTTTTTATATATATAATACATTTTTATTGATTTTATTTTGATAAAGTTGTTCTGCAAAGTAAAATTCTGCGCGGAATTTTTTGTTTTTTGAGTTTCTTTCATCTTATTTTTTGCTTATTTTCCTGTTTGTAAGATATTGAAAAGTTTTGCATAATTTTGTTTCTTCAACGGAAAGTTGGTTAATTTTTTATTAGTATAATTAATATTTGTATTAAGGGATATAGCTTATTTCATTGAAATTTTTTTCTCTTGAAAATATAAGATAAAATATCATTAATTATACTTTGCTTTTCAGAATTTGGTTTTTGTGTTCTTTTATGTTATTTATATATAATAAAAGAGTATGTGTGTCTTTCGTTCGTACTGCGCGTAAGCTAATAGACCCAGGGCTACGAAATTTGGCATATAGGTGCATCTAGACAAGAGCCAGTGCACCTCGAAACGATTTTTTCAAAATTCAAATCATATTTTTTTTATTTTATCTTTTCGATTTTATCGCATTATTTTGAAGTTTCATTCTTTTAGAAATGTGGTTTTGGCAACAGTTTTTCATTCAATTGTATACTGGACTGCTGATTGTTGAAAATCAGCGCTGTTGCCACTTGGAAAAATGAAGGCGATAATTTTGTGCGGTTTTTGTTTTTTTATTTTTGATGAAGTTGTTCTGCAGAGTAAAATTCTGCGCATTTTGTAAATTTAACGTTTGTATTCCCTTCAGGCATTTTCCCGGTACATTTAAGAGTCAGACGAAGGCTGGTAGCATAGCTGCTGGTAGACAATACAAAACTTGTTTCCTTGAGGAGTGATATGCAGACTGATTGCCGGGCGGATAAAACTTCTTCGATAAATAACATCAATATGCTTGTCAGCGTAAAAGTACGCGAATGTCAATTATATCATTTCTATTTGTTGAACACAACATTTAACAAGCTGTTGGAATTTTTATTTTTAATTTCAAGAATCCATATATGTAACACGAGTGTTTTTAATTAATTTATTAAAATAATTTGATATTTTTGTACACCAGGTGGCAGTTGCACAAGAAGCAACTCAAGCTCTATCTGAAGTACATGGAACAAAATACAGAATTGGTTCATCTACCAATATATTGTGTAAGTGTTTTATTTTCATTATAGAAATTGCCTTAGACGTGAACCAAAAAAGACTTTTTTTATGCACTTCTTTTCGAATTTGAAAGTATGTAGATAGGATACTACTTAGAAAAAAAATCATCCAGGTATAACAGAGTGCACAGAAATGTAGTTACAGACTTCTTTACTTTTTTAAAAATATTAATTCTAGACATGCACGTCTAAATACAAGCTTTTTCAAAAGTAGGAAGGATTTCTAAATGCAAAATTTAAGTTTTTAAATAGTCTGTGTATCAAAATATTCTTAGTTTTCATATACTAAATGCAAAGAATTCTATACATTTATGCATGCAAATAACAGACCTCTCTGGACTTAATTTTGCTTTAGAGTGGTCATCTTCTGACTTGTAACCATGGAACAAATGTGAAAGAAAGTCCCCTAATTCACCCCACAGACACTTCATTTCCATATATGGTTCTTTCACTTTGTGAAATGCAGTCACAAATGAATAACCTGAACTGCAGTCATAAATGACGTAAAGAACATGAATGCTGTGCGGTGATAATTTCCTTTACTTCGTAACAAGGAAGTATTGTAATCGCGAAAAATTTCGGATATCATACTTCAACGAAAACATACGTATTTGTGTGTAATAAAGCATCATTTAAACTTTATTAGCCACAGAAATATGCTTGTCAAGTTAAAATTTAAAAGACTACGTTGCTTAAGATGTTGCATGTTTCAAATTTCATTCCTCATCTTCATGATCACTGATACAATTTGTTTTTGTGGAGCAGAGAAAAGCTAAGATATCTATTTGATGAAGCTTTTGTAAATAAAGTATTTGCGTATAATAAATAGTACGCCTTATTATTTGAAGTGAAAGAAGTAACAGTAATTGATTGAGATAAAATAGGAATACATTTATCCATCTATCTTTCCACCTGGTATCAATATTGCTATAATTTTACTGACAGAAAATTTGGAAGCTTCATCATAAATGTAATAAATATGTAGAAAATGATGAAAATGATTAAGAACTATAGAAAGCTTTCTTTTCAGAATAATGTAAAAAAAGATTACCAGAGAAAAGCCACGAATTTGTGCTTTTAACTAAGTACACTCTTTTGCAAAAAAAATCGAAGCACCAAGAAGGACTCTTGCGATCGTGACGAAATTTGATATGGAAAAACATCTTGATCGAACATGCAAATGATTAAAGTTTTAACGCAAATGAATAAGAATTGCGATCATAGCGCGCATTTCTAATGCGCAATTCGCAAAGTATAAAACTAGTAACAGAAGCGGAAAATTTATCTTTTTTGTTGCTGCCATTGGAATTCCGTAAAGAAGCAACTAAAGATGCCATTGCGACGATATCGAAGACCTTACTGACAACTAAACGACTTCGAACGTGGTCGCATTGTAAGGTTGCGTGAAGCTGTGTGGTCATACCGGGCATTAGGCAGCCACTTGCAGCATACAGACACTGCTGTGCAAAGATGTTGGCAGCAATGGTTACTACAAGAAAATTGCCGACGAAATGAAGGCCAAGGATCACAAATGCGAGGCAAGATAGGATGACTGTTCGCCAGGCCCGAACCACCCTAACGGTATCATTGTAGACTCCAACGGTTATCATATAATATAGATTTGTATACTCCAACGGTTCATTCAAAGCACTACAGCCACGTCTATACCTCCCGTGGTACCGTTCATCATCTCACGGCGCATGTTTGAGGCAGACGTTACGCTCACAGAGGCCATTAAGACGTTTGCGTTTGACCGCACAACATCGGCAGAGTCGTCTGGAGTGGTGTCGCTCCCAAACCTAATGGCTGCCATCACAGTGGCATCGTATAGTGTTCGGCGAAGAATCCCGCTTCACTCTTGAAGCAGATGACAACCGTGTTCATCTCTGGAGAGGACGGGGCCAGCAGTCCTAATCAGTCTTTGTTTTATAAAGGCATACAGCCAAATAACCCTTGGTCTGATGGTGTAGGGCGCTATTTCTTATGACAGCAAGTCGTCTTTAGTCATCCTCCTTACATCTTTAACAGCTCAACGATCTGTTGATATCATCCTGCGGCCGGTTGCATTACCCTTCATGGGACGTCATCCTGGGGCTATTTTCCAACAAGATAATGCCAGGCCACATAACGCTTGCATATTTCTGGACTATCTCCGTGCGGCTGATACTCTTCCTTGGCCAGCAAGGTCACCAGACCTTTCACCAATCGAGCTTGTCTGGGACATGGTAGGCCGCCAGATTCGGACACCACAAAATATCGCAGATCTGGAGCGACAATCGATGAATGCCTGGTAGAATGTGTCGCAGGATGACATTAGGAATCTTTACCACTCCTTGCCTCGACGAATTCATGCACGCATTGCCGCCAGGGGCGGTTTGACCAACTACTAATTTGAACACTCAATGGGTGATTGTGAGTCGTGAACAGGTACTATGACCATGATTTTTTAATCATTTTATTATCTGTGTATGAGCTATACACATATTCAGTTTCATCAAAAACAACCACTTCCTTCATGGTGCTTTGATTTTTTTTTTTTTTTCAAAAGAATGTAATTCTGCAGCAGGCATTTGGTTTGCTATATTTTTTCTTCTTTTAATGCATCTTTATGAATTTTTTTATAATAAAATATATAATGCTTCTCATTTTAGATGTGGCTACTGGTGGTGCTGATGACTGGGCTTATGGTTCAGCTGGTATTAAATATTCATACACCTTGGAACTTCGAGACACAGGAAGGTACGGTTTTCTTCTACCATCAGAACAAATAATTCCAACTGGAGAAGAAACTTTTGCTGGAATTAAAGCTATGGCTAAGGCAATAAAGAGAGAAGCATAAAAACCAAACTATGGGAAAATATTTTATACATTATTATAGTGAATATAAGCACATTAATTTATTTCAAATTGTGAATTTTAATGAAAGAAAATAAACGTTTACTTTAGGTAAGTAAACGAAAAATAGTTTTCTGGCCCATTATTTGTTTTTAGGAATTTGACAATTTTGATAACGTCAAGACCAAACATCAGGAAGCTGGGAAACAAACTAAAGGAATACTGATAACTCCATGCGAGTGTGAATTGCATTCTTATAATGCCGATACAAATAATTTTAATAACAAAAATTTATAAAAAATTATTTGAATGCTTGTATAGAACAACATTCAGGTTCCTGTAGCCAAATATATATTATATGTTCTTCAATTTGGCCTATATGTGTACAGTGACATTAGTAGGCAAAAAATTCCCTGCATTGTCAGAAAAAAAAAATTCCAAGCACAAGACTGTTGGCATTGGAAGAAATAATGGTTTATTTATTTTTATTTTATTTTATTATTATTTGTTTTTTGTTAATAGCGTTGTATTATTAGTAAGAACTCAGGATATCAACGTCCTTGTTTAAGTTTTTGATTTGAGGTAGAATAATCATCTGGCTAAACATTTATTTTTAAAAATTCTATTAGAATTCTTTTTACTTTTAAATAAATGCCAAAATTCACCTTTTTAATAGGGCATTATTTTCTTCCGATGAGAATGATTTTCTTTGACTTTCCTTTTTTTTCATTTGCCAACATATGTTAATTAACAATTTCACTGGTGTTTAATTACACAGCTGAGCTAAATTTGTTTTCCTTGAGATATAATATACCATCTTAGTTTTAAATAAATATTTTTGAATAATTTCTTCTCTTGAAGAAAGGTGATCCATGCTATCTTTCATAATTGAGAAAAAAATTAATGCCTCATGAAATTAAATTTTGACCTTTACTACAATTTAAACAAGCACGCATTTATCATTTAAAAGGCTTTTTAATTTCCTATATTTATGAAAAAGTTTAAGCTATAAATGCACAGGAAAATGATGATTATATTGTTTTCTTGACTCTCTTATCAGTTAACATGTTACATTTCTTTCCTTTATTTTCTACAACAGATTCCATCACTTGCATGAGCCCATGAGCTTAATGTCAAGTTTATATTTATAAGATTGAGAAAGTTTCATCATTTTTTCTGCAAATTTCTTAGAAATTCCTCTTTCTTCCACGCAATCCAACAGCAGATAATAAAAATACTGTAAATAAAATCAGAAAACATATTTTTATGCAAAAATTAATTTACACATGATTGATTCGATGAAGTGATTAAAAGCACTTATAAAACCCAGGAAAGGAAAGTTCTAAGTTAGTGAACATGTTTGCTAAGTATTAAAATAGTAATCTACATGTTCCAAATTAATTATAAATAAGTATTTTTTATATATATACATCGGTTTTAACATTGATATTAAATGCTAATCTTCAAATGTTATATTTTTATCCATTTTTCAATTTTGATTTAAAGTTCAAACGTTGTCGCATCAGGTGACACCAGTTGTAGAAAGCCACAGTTTAAAAATGCATTTTTTACATGATTTGAGGAAGGTTATATGCCCCCCCCCACAAATGTTAATAGTTTCTCATAACCTTAGCAATGTCTTGTGTTATATTTACAAACTCTACATCGCTATGAAAACTATCTATCCAGCCAGCCCATTCGCCTGAGATCGAACTCAGGCTCAACACTCAGTGACCTTAATCATTCGGCCACTGGTACGGCCTGCTTATTAGTTCTGAGGCGCTCAGTCGGGATAGTGGTTAGTGATTCAGACTGCCATACCGGAGGGCCCTGATTCGAATCCCGTAGAAGGTATGGATGTTTGTAATTGTGTAGTGTGGCACATTGAAAAAAATGTATAGTGTGGAGGCAGTCTAAATATGTTGAAGAGCCAACAATTTTCTTGAGAGGTTGTGGTAGGAGAAGAAGGGTCGGAGGCCCTTGGACCCGTCCACTTGGGGCCTTCTCTCTCAAAATTGGGGGCCGGAACCTAGTCAGTCTACCACTTATATGATACTCAAGTCTCTTGCCACGAGCAACGTAAGTACTGACGCAGCAGACAATCTCCACAAATTACCATTATACATGAGGTAGCACATTGATTAAACAACATAAAATGGAATGTAACATCATGTTTCACAATTCATCTCGAAAATCCGAAAACTTAAAGATTACAATTGAAAACTTCAGAAAATCTTAATTTCTTTTAATAAAAAGTAATATATTTTGTTTTTCTTTTTAAAACAAAAATGTAAAATTAAAAACCTTTACTGAAAAAAATTCAAAAAGAAATTTCAATTTTAAAAGCTTTCACTTTTGTTTCTGCAATTTTTACTTATGCAAACGGAAAAATATCAAATACAAGTAATGAGCTATATGTAAAATTTCACCTTGGCAATTAGATTTCATTTTGGATGCAGGCGATGATGAATATAAAAGAAGTTTTGAATCTGACCTTATTGTAGGGCATTAGAAATTAATTATATTTAAATTGGACACAGTAAAAAAATAATACATGCTGTAAAACCTACGTGGCATGACCATTTTATGTTACTGCATGACTGTTGTCATTGGTATATACCTATTTTACTGCAGCGATCGTTCTGTTAAGTGGCTCAGAAAGTAGTTTCATTCTTTCACTTTTGTAAGAAAAACGTTATTCTTATAATACATAAGTATTTCATTGAATTCCATTTTGGTTAAATAGCTTTTACCATCTATAGCATAATTCAACACTCACCAAATTTGTTACATTTGCTTACAAACTATTGATCCAAGTAAGTTTTATATCCTCATGAAGTAAATGCTACTGTTTAAAAAATCCTGCAAAGACCAAAACAAGTAATAATCCAAATCAAGCGAATATGATGGCTAAGTTGTAATAGCTTCTGATGAGTTACCACAAATTTGTCTAAAGTCTGACATTACCATGAAGGAACATTACACTTTTTCTGTTGATAAATTCTGACCTTTTCTATGCAATACCTTCAGTTCATCCAGTTGATGGTAGTACACTTTCGAATCAACCACGAAACTTTCATACAGAAGCCCTCTCCCAAAAAATTCCCTTACAATTCTGCCACAAAGAAATCATATCTTTTTTTAGGAATATCGGTTCTCAAAGTACTAGAGCTGGCTCATTGCTTCTACTTCATAATATTATTTACTTGCATTCCACATTGTTATACTTGTAAGTAATCCTGTTTCGTCACCAGTTATGATTCGCTTCAAAAATGGATAAGTTTTATATTTAATAAGAATATCAGAGATACCTATGAGACAGAAAATGTCTCTTTCTCTGAGAGCATGTGAAGCCCATATATTGAGTTTAAAAAGAAAACCAAGTAATTTCATGTGGCAGTTGAATTTGACATGTTTAATCTTTTATTTTTCATGTTGATATTTGGAGGTTTGCTTCAATCAGTATCTTTATTTTGTCTTCACCGGCTTCATAATTTTGTCCTGCTTGCACGGCATTCTTACCTTTCAGTAATAAGATAGAATAATATGCCGAAACAGCTGCTTTTGATTTTTCGTTTTTGTTGTCAAACCTTCCCTTCTGGGGGGGGGAAGGACTGCAGAGAGTCGAACAGGATTTTTTTTAAATAAGCTTTCAAATGTCAGTTGTCAAATTATGTAATGATAATACAGTTTAGAATGAAATTGGCTGATTAAAAGTACAAGTAATATCTGTAGTGGTAAAAGTAATTGAAATTGCTTTCTGAACAAATAATTATTACTATGACCAGTATAAATAGTTCTCAGTTTATGCAAGTAAACTCGTGATAAAAAAATAAGCATCAAACACTAAAAGAAAAGGCATGAATGAGAAATGGGGAATTAAAACATACAATCTACATATGAGGTAGAGGTGACATCGCCAAATGCAAACAGATAACCAAAATTAGCATAAAACGCAATCCCCCAGTCACATCATAACACCTTAAAAAGGGGGGTGAGGAATTTGCGCGTCAGTATCACAAGTAGCTTTAGTTCGGTGTAATACGAGATAGCCAAAGTGGAAACCATTTGCACGATGAAATGCGTTGGAGCGCAGTAGTCGGGATGCCTGCGAGTTGTAGCAAGACAATCCGCTGTTGCGAAAGAGCTGAATGTACATCGTATCGTCATCAATAGGCTGTGGAATCGTTACCAAAAGGATCAAAACTCCTGTAGAACACGTGGGTCTGGACGCCAAAGGATTAACTCAAAGGCACACGATCGCTTCCTGGTGCTCTGTACAAGACGCCGTAGATCACTATGAGCATGACAGCTGACATCGCATCTCTCTCTATTGCAGGACGGTCTATATTCCGTCAAACTAGGTCGCGTCGATTGTATGAAGGTGGACTGTATGCCCGACCTGTGTTTTGCGTTCCTGTGTCTCAATTGTAAGTCACAGCATGGCTCAGGATTGCCCGTGAAAATCGCAGTTAAACAACAGAGCAGTGGGGTTACGTATTCTTTACGGATGAGTCTAGTTTTCACATCTAGAGCGATTTCCGAAGGATAATGACATTGCGAGATCCAGCAGCACGCTATCGGGCGCCAAATATCGTCGGAAGAGACCATTGCAGAGGTGGAGGCTTACTTGTATCGGCTGGGATAGCAACGAACGGCCTTCTGCATAATTCCTATTGGTTCCGTCACAGCCGCCCGATATCACGACGAAATTCTACAAACTCTTGTACGTCCTTTTATCGCTGCAATAAATACTGGCGCGACATTTATGAATGATAACGCCCGCCCGCATGAAGCTTGAATGTTGCGGAGATATCTGGAGAATGTAACCATTCCACATCTGCTGTGACCTGCTAGATCACCGGATCTGAATTCCCTACCGTATGTGTGGGACGTGTTGGGACAATGAATAGCAGGTCGCAGTGCATCGTCAGGCTCCCTTTACGAGCTCCAAGATGTATTAGTACAGAAGTAGGTACTACTGTCACAACAAGCTATCAACATCGCTATTGCCAGCTTGCCACGCCGTAGCCAAGCACGCATTTCAGTTAGAGGGTATCTTACCCGTTAATAGCATGATGTTTGCGCTGCACATTCTTCCGATCCATTTGCGATGTTTGATGGTCGTAGTACTTGTGTTTTTGTATGTTTCTTCTTTATTGTTTGCTATGTGGTCTAGTAATTCCACACCAACCTCTTGGATTCGTTTCACGTAGTATATCCATAACATAGTTTATGTTTTACCCCGTGTTTTTCCTTTCTTGCTTACTTATTTAGCAGGCGTGTATATAAGAACCATTTTCACCGCATGGACACTAGATATAGAGTCCTTTTTCAGCAGAATACAAGAGGTGATTATAATGAGTATCAACTATATTAATTTATTTTTATAGTATTTTGTTTTTATTTTCTTTACCTGTGTAAATATCATTCTAATAAACTGGAGGTTGCAAAATTAAAGATAAGTTTGAACAAAGTTTGCTAGAGTTGCGGAAAAGCACGTATGTGTGTGTTTGTGTGTATATATATATATATATATATGGATGTACCACAATCTTTTATATTGATGCATGTTATCATGTTGCATGTGTACTTCGTAGATTCAATTCATTAAAAAAAAAAAGAAACACTTCAGAGTTCTGGAAATTTCACAAAAATACCTGCACCGCTTTTCTCAGTATCACTAAGCACAATCAATGGCCACACTTCAAATTACTAAGAACGTTAAACACAACGCAATTCAAAGCCCATCTAAAGAGGAAGCTAACACCGAGATATCCGAACTCACACTGAACTAACAGCTCACAACAACAAACTTAAGGAACTGATACTCTGATATAATAGTACTTTCTGCTTCTCGAAATTACTGGAAGGCACTTGAGGGACAGATACGTTTGGAGCTAATATAGTAATCAATAATATTTATTCAATTACAGGTAAGTGATACAGGGACCAAACCAAAATGTCGCCAAGTTTGGTGATAAAATATTAGTCGCCGAAACCGTTCCCAGCTTGGCGATATCTCACCAATTTCTGCGTACAGCACGATGACGAACTTATCCGTGTATGGAAGCACAGAGAAGCCAGCTTGCATTCGTCAACGTTATAAGGGCCTCAGGTGCTGACATGAGGTGCCCAATGGGCAAACATCCCATTCACCTCTTGATCGTATAACCGGTAATGTGTGTAGCCGCCGTTGCATTTCTGATCTGTTAGGGAACAGCTTTCTCAAATTCGGTGCAATGGATCCTGTTGGGACCTCTAGGGGTCGAAATTTTATTGTAACTTTTCTTGTATCTAGAAACAACCCTCCAGATGGAATTATAATCTGTTGAGAGAGAATATAGGTATGCAGTCCAGTCGTGTTGTGCTTGTGTGATGGTAAGAAACCTGACAGCATCGTTAGGTGTTGTTTGTCCAATGGATGCCGGATCCTCTGGAAGTGCCTAAACTTTTAACAAAATCTGTTGATTTTAGATTAAGAGGTATTTATTATGAAAATTTTAAAAACATCAGAAACAAATGAATAATAATTATTAAAAAATCCTTTGACTTAACTGAAATGTGCAAAGCAAATCTGGTCTGTGAAAATATTATAAGATGTTTCAATAATCTTCGAGGTCTGCGTGAAGTCATCTTTCCAAAAGGCAGTGCACGGCATCATGTTGGCTATGCTGTTCTGATCTTCCTAGATACAGAGTATGTCTAAATGCTGCCTTAGCCAGCACGTTCTCAGACTGGCAAGCGACCAATCTCCAAACACTACGATTGATAAATTCAGGCACAGAAATGAAGTTGCATGGAATGAAGTATCTGTATCTATCATCAGAGCTCAGTTCGATTAGATGCCTAGCTGGATTATAGCCGTCGTTGCCGTTACTGAATTCTTCATTCTGTGAATCCCAAATGACTTGTAAATATAGTGGACTTATTTATATATCACTTGTCATATCTTTCTCTCATTATACTATAAAGGTACAATAGATATGATTCTGCTATTTGCTTTCCATTCTGGTGTAGCAATTTCAACAAACAATGTATTATGACAAATACTGTATTTGTATTTGAAGAATCTAATTTCTCTAAACCCGTCGATATTTGCATCTTTAAATGAGAAGCCTCAAATTCAAGTACATTTCGATTAAGTACGTAGTACGTGTATGCGCATAGGCTCAGTCTTCCTTCAGAAAATTGCAAAATTATTCTCATCAACAAATTTCGACAAGCTTTATGCTTCTCATAATATAACTGGTATTCATTGCAGATCTTTCGGTTTAAATTAGGAACAATTTTATGAGATATTTTCCGTCAGCCTTCGATTTGGGCACATTTTAATTTAATTTTGTGTAATGTGTGTAGTATATCACAATTCGTACAAAATAATTTTACTTTTAAAGGATTAAATTTCTCTTTCTTAATTATTAATTAATGCGTTATCAATTCAAAAGCATATGATTATGATAGTACTTGTCAAGTTTTTATTTAAAAATTAAAAGAAGATAAAATTCTGTTACATTTGCTATATCAATTACAAGGTGAAAGTCAACAGATCATGCTCAGTGTAATAACAATTTTTAATCTCTCATAAATTTACAGATATTCTCATTCATATCATGTTCTTCGCACTTAAACCATAAAATTCAATTCAGTAGCAATCTCAAATAATTTAAAAAGAGCATATTTTTTTGAATTGTCAATACGCAGTCTCGGGCGCTGGAGATAAAAATATTTTTTTTTTCGTACAATGTTGCCATTGCTTGCTTTGAAATCGTTGAGTTTGTTAATCAAAGATTCATTAAAATTTTAAAAAGTATAAATAAAAAGAAATTTTAAATTTGGGCTTACAGATGCCCATATTCGAATAGATGTCTACGTTATTCAAAATGGGATGTCTCTAGGTACTGTTTTTTTTTTCACAGTGCGAGAAACATACATACATTCATGCAGATTCTTCATTATTTAATTTTGTTAAACATAATGCAGGGCTTTAAAAAGTGAAACGCCAAAAGGAATTTAAAAAATTGCCCCTTTGGACTAAAAGAAAGTCAGCCCTTTTATTAGAATTTTACTCAGTAAAATCATAAGTTGTCAAATTCTAGATCGATGAAGAGCTTATTAGAATTTTACTCAGTAAAATCACCAAGTTGTCAAATTCTAGATCGATGGAAGAGCTTATCTCTTTCTAGGAAAGGAAATTTATGTTGTTACAATAATAGAATAATTAAGGTCAGTTTTACGTGTCAATATAATTAAAAGAATATATTTTCGTTGATGTTTCTAAATCTAAAGGCTTCAATGCTCGACAATCGAAATGCCATCCATACCATTCGCATTCTGTCACTACATGAATCTTATGAAAATATTGGAAGTTGCTCGAAGTGCATTTAAAGCAATCAAAACATTCCTGCTGTGTTTCTGTGTAAAATCACCTTCAAAATCAAGAGACTTTTATAAAAATTCTACGCTAAGCTGATCTTTTGCTTAGCTTTAATTAAAGCATAATGAATATTTTACTAAACAAAATGCTTACCATATGGTGGCTATATAGAAAATTTTATTTTAATAAAACCTTCTCATTCACGCGTGGAGTTTTCATAAATTTCTGCATCTTGTGTTAAGAAGCTATGCATTTTGAAATATATGCCAAAGATCGATATTTAAGGAAAATAAAGGTCGTAGTAGTAATTTTTTATTCAAATCTCCTGTGTGATGTAATGTTACAGATATAAATAATTTATTTCAGATATGCAATTAATAAATTCTTAGAATATATTAATATATTTGATTCATATGCATGTAAATTGAGAATTACTTTTTAATAAACAGCACACTTTGTTACATTCACAAAAATATTTATTCTTAATGGGCATATTACAACATATTTCGACAAGACATTACAAATTCAACGCACAGATATAAAATCCTTTCCTTTCAGATTTTAATCGTTCTTGTAGTAATTTAATATACCGGACTAATTAAAGGTTCGCCTGCTAAAGCTTTCAGAATATTGCCAGCTGCCATTTCTGACATAAGAACACGAACTGATATTTCGGCACTGGCAACGTGAGGAAGAAGCGCTGAAAGAAAAAAGAAAGATCACAAGCATAAAACATTTGAAGGCATTCAAGAGATAACACGTATAATTTAGTCTAACTTTTTAAATGAATCTTACCTATATTTGGTAAAGTAGTTAATTTGTGATCTTTTGGCAGTGGCTCAGGAACCATAACGTCGAGACCAGCTCCTCTTATTTCTCCATTTTTTAGAGCATCGTACAAATCATCTTGATTCACAACTCCACCCCTATGAAATTTATATTAATAATCAAGCGTATATAAGTGTATACAAATATGGATAATATTTTGTTACCAAAGGAAAAACATATTTTATACATGGTAACTTGAAATGAGACTAATTTATGAGAAAAAAGATGTTATATAATGCACCCATAAAAGTCCCCTAATCGTTGATCGCAAATGCAATGGCTCACATTTGTTTTTGAATATTTTTGAGATTTATTTCCATAGATCTTGAGCTAAACATCAAAACATAGACTTCAAATATTTTTTTAAATTTTTTTCCTCTATTTTAAGCCGTGGTTGTTGTAAAATAAATATCATCGAAATATTTTTTGTAATAAAATGATTTGTTCAAAAACTGTTAATAAGTAACTCGCATAATTATTCGGGCACTCCAATGTTTTGTTGAAATGTTTTCGTATGCAATGTTCCTTGCTATAAATTTTTGTTTTAAATGAAAATGCATCACAAGAATTATCGCCTGCATTTGAAAATTATAACTTGTTTAGCAAAATATATTAACACTTCCATATCTGAATTGAAGACGGTACAAATTAACGACCCATTCTATCAGAAATTTAATAATTCATATTTTTAAAGATGGTTAAAGTATTCTAAATACCTAAAAGATCCTCGATGCAAAGCGTTTAATGATCTTTACTTTAATAAAACGATGGAAATTGCTTGGAGTTGTCGAAAATGCATTGGACTCTGGAATACATTACACGGTAACATGAAGGAGTTGCAGATTTATTCTATAAAAAATCAAACAACCACCAAGGTAGAGAAAAATGTTCACAGGTTTAGAAGATAAATTGCAATGAAAGTTAACCCTGAAGCTTTTAGAACAATCATTTTAGAAAGATCATCACATGGATAAAATGGGCGATCAGGAAGAAGAAAATTCTTCGTCAGCAAGAAGACAAGGAAAATACGCTTGACGTTCGCAAAATCTGTAGTAAGAAAAGTTCTATCATATTCGAACAATGCTTTATTTTGAAAAAAAAAAGTCACAATTTAATACCTTTGAGTCTTATAAACGAATTAATAGGTGAATTATACGATAACAGAAAATATATACGAAGAGCTATAGATGAACTGTAGAAATTAGTAAGTCCCAAGTAAGAACTGAATTCGAAAAATTTATTCTCACGGTTTGGATATGTTTTTTCGCTTTTAGAATTAGAAAATTAGTGTTTATCGAAATATAGATTAGTATAAATATTAATGAAAACCTGAAATCGTCCGCAAGAAAACTTGAAATGCAAAATACATTCAAGTCCTATCAAAAAAACGATCCTAAACATAAAGCCCAAATACAGCTATCCTAAAGTTATCAAAACTTCTCCACATTCTTCGGACTTAAAATCCTATGGAACGTGTATGGAGTGGGTTGGAGAAAAGAATGAGGCTCGAAAGCTCTAATAAAAGCAATTCTTATATAGGAATGAAACATTCTTACACAGAAACATTTGTTGTATCCATGCTAAAGCCATGAAAAGTGCATTCTTAGCTAAAGGATACTCAACTAAATACTGAATGTCCCGTTATTTCGATGTTTTTATTAAACATAAACTGTTTATTTAAGTGTTCGTATACTTACTTGAGTTTATTTTCAAAACATTATTTCTTTAAAAATTAGTCAAAACAAACGGGTTTTAAAACAGATTATCAATAGTATATGCGAAAGAAAAATACAGTCAGTTTGCTAATATTCAATAACTGATATTTACAAATAAAACTGAAACACACGTGTCCGAAATCAAAATGTGAGCCAATGCTTATACTATTTTTAATGACAAAAGCGTTTTAAATGACGCAAATATTTATGCTAAGGCATTTTTCGATTTATAGACTCAATTCCGTATTTCCGAAATCTGACTTTTTCTACGGCCTCCTAGCCCTTATAGTTATATTTAGAGTGAATGTTTGTAGTCATTTACAGAAAATAAAGAGTAAAATGTTTGACTATCGTACGATGAAAATCGCACGGGTATTTATTTAATTTAAAAATTTGGCATTTTTTTTCCAGTTTTATCGGTTTGCCTTTAAGGATCTCTTAAAAATAATTTAGAATAATTCGAGGTTGATTTTTTCCCTTTAATATCATTTAATGATATTCGTTCATAATTTATTATTCGTTTGTAACTTTCTTTAACTAATGGTTTTGTTACATATAGTATGCCGAACGAAGTGTTCACGCAAATAAAGTTTTCAAATGCTCAAAATACGTTATTAATATATCAGTTAAATACGATATTAATACATCAAACACGTTACTAATATTCTTGTTATCGATTGCTTGTCAAGTATTTATTTACTTTAACATAAGTACGTTTATGTAAATGCAAACACATTTTATTAATATAATTTATAAGCGGAAACAATACTTATTTAATTTCAGTTTATTCTTATTCTGAAAAGAATATTCTTAAAATTTACGTATTGGCATGTTGGTTTCTTCCGAGAGGCCTGGAAGAATATATGCTGCAAATAAAAACGTCTTTATTTAGGAATCGTTGATTTGTAATGTTTCTTTATTAAATAACTGCCTTTGCGGAGTCTGGGGTTCAAAGAAGTTAATTTAGAAGAAGAAATTTCCGTGAATTTTCTGGATTGCATCTTATAATTCTAATATAGTTTTAGTGTTGTAGAACGATATTTTAATAAACATGCAAAAATTCATTAATAAGAAATATTCTTCATTCTTAATTTATACGAATAATGGTTTGGTTTGGTTTATTTAATTACGGCAAAGCACACTACGGCTATCTTCCTAAGGGGAGGGATACCTTCGTGGAGGACTTTCGAAGGGAAACTGGCTTATATACACGGTACACATGGGGAAAACCACAAAAACGCCCGTGCAGCCAGCCCGTTCGCGGGATTAGAACCTCGGACCGAACTACCAGTGTTCAGCGACTTTACCACTCGGCCGCTGGTGGGCCTATATGCGAATAATGTTACGAGTTGATTGTGTGTTGTCATTGAAGCCTGCGCATATTTTGAAACACACTGAGAATCACAATATAAAACAACTGTTGTTTTTGGTCGTCATTATTTTTTAACAACATATTATAAATGTTCCCTAATATCATGCAGTATATTTATATAACACAATACTATATTTATATCTGTTTTTAGACCATAATTAATTTTTGTTCGTTTGCCTATAGAAGATTCTTATGGACAAAACGAATGTTGTTTGTATCTGGATACAAATGATGCTTAATTTGTGAAAATACTAATTCTGTAAGGTTTTGTGAGTATTATCTCCTTTTTTAAAAGTAAATGCGTTGGCTAATACTTTTCCAACAATTTGCATAACAATGCTCGCCACTTATTAACTTCAGAAATCTTTTCTAAACTGATATTTTAATTTTATTTACATAAAAGATGTAAAGATTTCGGATTTTATGTCTTATGATGGGTATTAAAAGTTTCCTAAATATAATTATTGAAACCGGGGATCCGTAACTAAAAATCAATTTTTCGTAATTTTTTATAAAATTTATTATTTAAATTAAAATTTAAAATATATGAATATCTGCATCATTTAAAGTCTTTTTGCAACTGAAAGTACATAGTCAATGGTTGCGAAAATAAAGGCCATATGAGGACTTGCGTGGATATAGTGTATACCAGGGAAATATTTCTGATGTGCTTTGTCAAAGAAAGAACTTTCGCTACAATATTTTCTAACCATTTATTAATACTTTCGAGTACCATATTAAAACTAATATTACGCATATCGTAATAAATTTTTTCAGAAAATATTTTTTTTCCATTAATAAGACGGTTTTTCCCTCAGTATGGCTGAGGAATCCGCAGAGCACTAAACATGCTAAATATGCCATACGTTGCATTTATTATGCAGGCTCTTAGGCAAAAAATGACTACAGACTTTGCTTCGAGATACGGCTAATGCTTATTCAAGCCAAGTCTTCCAATAACAAAAATTTTCAAATAGATTTGTAATATATTTTTATTATGAGAGTTTTATGGAAAACATTCAACACTATGAACACAAGGACCTTCTAAAAATACAACAGATTTTTTTTACCAGTAGTACTAGAACTGTTTCCATAAATTTCTCTACTTTATTTTGAGAAACATTTTAATTTAAAGTACATTTCTAAAATCAGTTTTTAAGAAAATATTCTGCAGCCATTTTTTTTCGAACACTCTGAATAACATACAACAGTAAGAGCATCAGAATATACCCAGAAGTTTAGCATTTCGCACATAACAATTTTTTTAAACAAAACCATTAATTTTAAAAGCATGCTTCAAAATATTGCATATGTTAGAAAGAATTTTTTAATATAATTTTTCAGCCCCCAAACTAAAGCTTTCATTAGCAAATTTTAGAAAAGAACCGAAATACGGAAAGAATCATACATTTTATAATTATTACTTAAATGATTTAACTAAAATTTAATATGAACATTTTCATTTTAAAATGACAGTTAAATAGATAAAGAAATAGTACGTATTTTACTGGGTTTCTGTACTATTGAACACTATGTCTGATAGCAAAACTAAAAATAGTTAAAATCTGTTGTAATTTTTTAGATTTCAGAATGCCATTTTTTATTTCAGGCAACCTAAGTCGGCTTTGTTATCTTCTGCACAATGATTTTGTTCTTTAGCTTCAATTTCACGCAAAGGTAGTTGAGGACTTAAAGTAATTGAAGTACTAATATAAAACTCCTGTAAATGAAGATATTGTGCTAATAGTGTTGATGCCATGGAGAATTATTTAGAAGCGTGTTACTTTCTTCTGTTTTAGTGATAAATAATATTCTTTGAAAATCTGAAAGATAACATATGAAGATGTCGCGTGACTGCCAATGACTTTTCTATTTCTGATTTTACTGTTTTACAGTGAACGAAATGAGGGATATCATAGAACCTCTTATGAGGGAAAAAAATTTCGGGTCAAAATTATCTCTTAATTTATATAGATAATAACTTAAGGGAACTTTATATCATCGCTAGTAAAAATAATATTTTATGTGAAAATAAAATTTAACATATTCTTAGACAAAGAAGTTTATCACTTAAAAAATATCAGTTGATTGAAAGTTAATAGTCATAGCATGTAGGGTCATTAGTTTTTTTTTTTTTTTTTTTTTTTTTAAATAAAGCAGGAGACATGCAAAATGAGCAATGCCCTCGCCGGGACTCGAACCTGGACCTCTCGAATACGTGCTGAGTGTGCTACTATTACACCACGAAGGCATACTGGAAGTAGGCACAAAATACCCTATATACTCCCCCTTTTAAAAGGCAACTGGGAATTAGGGGGCCCAGTCGCCAAATCCTGGTGGTGAAGAATCTTCATCCACTACCACTTAGTTCGGGCGCCACTGTAGAGACATTAGTGTTTTTTTTTTTTTTTTTTTTTTTTTTTTTTTAAAGCAGGAGCTGTGAAAAATGTGCAATGCCCTCGCCGGGACTCGAACCGTTACCGCTACCGTTACACCACGAAGGCATGCTGGAAGGAGGAAGAAAGTGTTATGAGGCCAGAGGAAACTCTGGTGGAGGTCCGTAGCGGTTCTGATGTGAAAAACCTTGTAAATATTTCAGTGAATACATTTCCAGATAGTTACTTGACGAGTCTCCCACATATGATAGAAATCTAGAGTTATAAATGAGTAAAGTTATAAGTAATATTCATATTATTTAAATTCTGTCTCTTTCTCAAGTGCGGTATTGTTAGCAACGTACGACGTTGCAGACAATTTCTCAATTCGAATAGCTAAAGGCACTGCTGTTTTTCATCTGCATCGTCCATTCTTTTAATTCTCCATCATTTTGACGGAAAATACATTCAGAGTCTGAAATTATACGCTTCCCTTGTAAGTACTTTAAAGATACCGAATTATATTTTATTTCTATCCAATATCTTACCTTTAATTAACGCTTAAAGAAGTTGTACTGATAACACGTTTTCGAAAGCTTACAAGAAATGCGTTAGCTTTTATAATTAGTTTTATAAAAAAAAAAATTTAAATATAAAATATGCATTTTGTAGTATAATATCTTTTTAGCAATTAATGCGTACCCATTCATCTTAAACAACGTTATAAGTTTCTTTAATAAGTATTTTTTCACTTTGCTAAATTAAACTAAGCATGCTCGCATGTTCTTTCTTTATCAGTTTCTTAATCAAATGATCACCGTAAGGAAAAGTAACACTAATAGTCTTTTTCCAAAATGAAAGATTTTCCATATTGTCATTTTAAATTTTAAGTTGATTTTAAATTGACTCTATTAATACCAAAAATAAGAACCTAAACTTTTTTTTTACAGAAATAAGAAACAGCGCTAAAATAATACGTAGAAGATTAAAATTAACTATAAATTTTCACTCGCGGCCTCGATATGAGAAATTTTAAACTGCTAATATTGAAAATTAGCTATATTTCTATTACAAAGCCTTACCTGCTAGTATTCACAAACACGGCGGATTTCTTCATTAATTCGAAAGCCTTTTTATTAAAAATACCACGAGTTTCATCCGAAAGATTGCACATGGCAACGACGTAATCAGATTGCTTCAGTAGGTCTTCGAATGGCGTATATATTGCCCCGAGTTCTTCGGCTGAAATAAAAAGAGGTTAATTTTTAATTTAAAACAATTTTGAAAAAAAAAAAAAAAAAAAAAAACCAATCGCATCAGCACATATTTATACACAGATCTTTGAAAGCCTTACACATACTTGAATAATGTGAAATTACACCATGCTCAACTCAAGACTATGTTTGTTCTTCCAGACACAGAATCAAAAAGATATTGGAGTCTTTGGAAAGCTATTTCAAACCCTCTAAAGAAATCCAAAACAAGCAATGGACTTTCAATAAGATCAGCCTTGAGAGCCCAAGGTAAGGTTATGATAGGTTATTTAATTACGGCAAAACCTCGAGGACTATCTGCCTAAGGGGAGGGATACCTTCGTGGGGGACTTTCTATGGAAAACTGGCTCGTATACACGTTACACATGGGGAAAACCACGAAAACACCCATGCAGCCAGGCCGTTAGCAGGATTCGAACCTCGGACCGAACTACCAGTGTTCAGCGACTTTACCGCTAGGTCGGTGCTGGCCTCCCCAAGATAAGGATCAGAGGAAGCTTGCTTAGAAGAACACTTGGTGCAGACTTCAAAACACCTGGAACCTTCGAAAAATGTTAAAATCTAGTACAATGCCCCCTGAGGAAGCGGATGAGGGTGGTTTGATCTCGCTTGTTGCAATCAAGTGAAAGTGAGCCACCCGACCCATTAATCTGATACCAGAGGCTTATTCATGGATGGGGAAACATGCAGTTAGCGTGAAAACGTTTGAAACGTGTGAAAAAAGAAACAAAACGTGTGAAACGATTACATTGCATGCAGCTATTCATTTAAAAATTCGTTAATATCATGTCAACCATTTGATGACCAATAGAAAGACTCACCTTTTTTCGCGTTATTATCAAAACTCCAAAGTCCAGCAACCCCGACTTCACCCTATTCTCGATGAGAAAAGCAATTAAAGCAACCATTCATTCTCTAACCAAGAAGAGAAGAAAGCAACTGCTATAGCATTTGCTTCATCTTTGACGTATGTGTATAATTTCAAAACCTCATAATGTTGGAAAACTACTATGCAGTTCCACTAAGATTATCATTATGAATGTTTTCGTCAAATTACAGGAGCATTTTCCTAATAAATCCAGTAGCGAAAATGTTACTTTTGCTGCTATTTGACGGTCTTTTCTGTGACAAGCATAAATCGCATGAAATCCGACAGGAAATAAAATGGTGGATTTTCGACTCCGGGTGAAAAATCGACTTGTGAAAGTCGGTACACGCAAACCCGAATCAAACAACATGATAAGCTTAACTTTAGAACAATACAGAGAAAAGTTCATGATTTCTTTTTTATGGAATGAGCTGTGAAAAGGTCGCTCTAGCCTTGTACGTGTTCTCAGGTTAGACTGCTGTGAGGTATAGCGCGATCGAGAAGGCGCAGCGTACTGTTTCGAGTTCGCGAGAATATTCCGCACCGAGGACTTTATTTTTATACAGGGTCAAGTAAAAGCAAACCACACAAAAAATCTAGATATTTTTAGCTTATCACTTTGTTTTTTGGTTAGTTAGACCAAATGTCTTGATTCAATTAACTATGAAGCTTTTACAATATCTCGCGGCGCCCCTGTGAAGAGGCCATGGCTCCCTGGGTGTCGCGGCGCACAGTTTGGGAACCACTGTGTTAGCCCATTTTCCTTGCACAGTTTTGCCTGACTCTTCTTCCCGTCCACTGCATGACTTAGATATTCTGTTCTCCAATGCTGGATACCTGAGTACATGTACTATGATATGGTGAACTTGGAACTAAAATGTTAGAACTGTTCAGCTAATGCCATCACAGTACACGTAAAAACCTACTTTTTATGTCCTTAAAGAGATTTCAATTTCCACTAGTTACTCTAGTACACTACACATGAACACACCATCATGAGACTGCCACTCATAATGTGCTACCAGGATGGATCCTTGGACTCGAATGGTCTTGTAAAGAACGCTCCTGAACTCTACTAGAAAGACCTATGATGCTCTTGACTAGAGAGAACGTCGTTAGCAAACTCCTCACACTACGAGTACTATAATTCATTTTAACACCTTATTTAAAGAACTGTGAATGGCAACGACTTAACTGAGAATTACGCATGCGTAAAGAGATGAGATTTCTGTGAGACGCCTGTCAGTGAGAGAGAGTTTGGGAAGCTCCGCCAGCGAGCTGACGTGTGGAGACTAAATTTGTCCAGTGATGACGAGTGCTATCTTCGTTAACGTCTCTGATCGTGTCACCAACTCGGATATGTACTCAAGTTTTTCTAAATGTATTAATTAAATGTTGTATCTGTGTAATGTTGTGTAATTAAAGTCATGCATCACCAATACCAGTGTTGATTCCGTTCCCACTGAAGCATCCACGACGTCACAGACGGAAAGAAAAAAAAAAAATTGGAGGTTCCAACCGAGATTTGTGTGACAAGAGACCAGGTATGTGTTCTCCACAATATTCATTTCCAGGCCTGAAGTGTATAATGTAGTTATTTATTACTTATTCGGGAAATCAATTCCCAAAGCAGAAGTAGCACATCAGTGCATAAGAGTTTTAAAACACTCAATGTGTTTGGTTTATAGTATATCTAACAAGATATTTTCCTTTTGTGGTATATTCGGGAAAACATTTTCCCATTAACACGTAGCACATCAGTGCATTTTATAGCACGTCAGTGCATAAAAGTTTTGAAACAATCAAAGTGTTGCATTTATATATCTAACGAGATATTTTTCTTTTGTATGATAATGGGAAAAATCCATTCCCGTAAATAAACAGCACATCAGTGTATTTATATTTAACGTTTCGCTATCAATTGGTGCGATAGAATCTGAACTATTTATTTTGTGTATATGTGAAAGCACATCAGTGCAATATTGCAATTTTCATTTCTAAGTCATTAGAAGAAAATTTATGTTAAATTCTTATGAAAGAAATAATTTGTTGAAGATATTAAAAACTTGTTACTTTGGTTTTCTCATGAAAGCACACCAGTGCTGTATTTTAATATGATGTGTATTTTCTGATAAGTAGAATGTTAAATTCTATCATCTCATTTTTAATTTTAAAGCTTTGAGCAGTAAAGAAATGTTCTAATAGTGTTCTGATTTAAACATGCGCCTATCGAATTTACGTAGTAATTGCGTTGGCCATGTGGATTGCCAACGGAAGTGGCTGTCATGAAAACGATAGTTAATTAAAGGTGTTTATATTTATTGGCGCCACTCTGGTTTTTTTCTGTCTGGCTGTACTAAATGAAAAGAATTTGTTATTAATTTTTTATACGAAGTATTCAGTAAGGTTGTTTATTCGTTTTATGTTTGAATGGAAATAAATCCACAGTGATTAATGCTTTTATTAACCTTTTATTTTTATTTGCCTAATTTTGTAAGAAAGAAGAAAGTGTTTTTTATATCTCTGATATATTTTTATGTGTATTACTTGTGAATAACTATTTGAGTTATTTGTTTTGAACAAGTACTTTTGCGAAAATGGCATTTTTGGGAAAAGCTAAGAAAAGGGATCTATTCCTTGTCGCTTCAGAACTTGGGGAAATAGCTTTAGAAGATATGAAAGTAATAGATTTAAAACATTTAATAACGAATAGTAAAAATTATGAGGAAGAATTTGTTAAAAATTTGTTAGAACGTATTATGACTGATAGGATAGAAAAGGAAAACTTAGAGAAGCAAACAAGAGCGAAAGAATTACAGTTAGAACAGGAAGCTAGGGAGAGGGAATTTCAGATACTACAACAAAATAAAGAAAACTTGAAAAGCAACAGTTAGAACTAGAATGCCTTAAAGCAAAACAGAACACTGAATCTGCTAAACCTGGAGGTGAAACGGTATTTAATCAGAATTTTCAGAAACTTAATGCCCAAGTTTAATTTAAAGACTGATGATATCAGTTTATTCTTAGAACTTTTTGAGAGGCAAGCTAAAGTTCTAAAATTGCCCACGGATCAATGGGTGTCATATCTCATTGGTGTCCTTCCGGTTGAGGTAAATAATATAATTGCTAAGGAACCTGAAGAACAGGCTAGAGATTACCACATATTAAAGAATTACTACTTCAAAGATTTAAATTAAGTGCGGAGAAGTTTCGGCAACTTCTTGTTAAGACTCAGAAAAAATCCGGATTCTACGTGGTACGATTTTTTTATCACGAAATTAAGACATTTTTAGATGGGTGGCTTAAGGGATTAAAAATCGAAACATTTGAGCAACTCAAGGATTTAATGTTGGTAGATCAGATTAAAAGGCGAACGCCTAATGAGTTTAAGGAACATTTTATAGATGAATGGGCTACGATCACTTCACCAAAACTGTTTGTGGGTAAAATAGAGGAATTTGAAGATGCGAAAAAGACGATGGTTGGGAAAACGAAATTGGGTGAACTGAAAACGAAAATATCAGGTAGACAAATGGGTGTTTTTCAGTCCACTGGTAACGTTTTCAAAAAAAAAGAAAAAACCCTCAGGTACACAATTTAAAAAAGATGATGATGCACGCAATGTTGGGAAAAAGTCGGAGACTCGAATTTTGATAGGAGAAAAAGACTCCAGTGCTATGAATGTGGATCTTTTGACCATTTACGTCCTCAGTGCCGTAATTTTAAAACCCAAAAGGCAGATTTGTATCGGATAAGCGGGAGATCAGAGAAGAATCTGTTAGATCCCTATACGTTAAATGGAAGAGTAAATAAATGGTTTTGAAGTACCTATTCTAAGAGATACAGGAGCAACGGTAGATATTATTTGTCAGAAATATGTAGACAGAGATAGAATGAAGGGGGAACATATGTGGGTTCGACATTTGTTGGATGATCATATGACTTGTTTACCTGTTGCTGAAGTAGATATTGAATGCGATTTGGGTACAGTAACCACCAAAGCAGCTGTTATAGGAGACCACTTAGACCAAAGACGATATATATTAGGCAACCAGACAGCGGCTCTTCTCAGAGGAACTGAGAAAACTTATTCGTCGTAT